GCTGCGCCGCGCCCGGGGCGCGCCAGGGACCCCGGCACCCCCGTACCGAGTGTGGGGTCCCCGGCCGAGGGGGGAGGACACTCCGGGCCACCTCCCGGTGTCGTCCACCCGACTCCGAGTTGTCGCTGAGGTGGGTTTCCGCAGTTCCCTGGGGAGCGCCTGGCCCGGTACCAGGTGCCTCAGGCAAGTTCAGAAAAAGTTCCTGGGACGGGGGTTTTGGAGCCCTTAGTTTTTAGTATGTCCACGGAAAGAAAAATGAACGACCTAAAGCTGAGAAATACATTTTATTTGAGGTATTACTGAGAACTGTACCCTGAGGAACCGTTTCTCAGATAGGTCTGAGGTACTGTTCCAAAGAGGTAAGGAAGGAGCCAGGATTTTTTGCCCAAAAACGCTTGTCGGCGACCATTAAAAAATTACTGCTAGAGATGGTTATCTCAAGTTAATGATTTTAGTGCTCTATACATGGGTAGGTGTGAGAGTCTGGGCTCCTTGGAATTATACCTTTGATATTATGCGTCTTAACTATCTGGGGCCAGTATCCTGTTTTTCTCCATCCTCAGTTCCCCTCTGGGCGCACCGTCTCGGGCGGCTGCGGTGGCTCCTGGCTTGATGGCAGGCAGTATTCTTCGATTACTGAAGTGACAGGCAACGTTTTTTTGTCCACAGTCACCTGCTTTGCCAGTTCTGCTTTTGTCTCTCTCGAGCGCATTTTTAGGCCACGTGAGGAAGATGCCTGGAAACCCACCCCAGCCTGGCTGGTTTCGTAACTCACCTCCTGGAGTGAGCTTTCTACAGGCTGCCTGCTTTCCTGGACTTTGGGGTGCCTGAGTTGATGAAATGCGGGGATCAAGGAGAAAGGTGGGAAATGCTCACCCTCAGTTCAGAGAAAAATCAGCCCTGCCACTAAAACACATCAGAGCATTGGCCCTGTTTTTTCTCCTTTTTTGTGGAGGAAAAAAACCTAGGAGAGCCAATGTTGTGGATGCTAAATAGCTGTTAGAACTTGTCCTTCAGTAGGTTTTACCTTCTACAGGTGGCAAGAGTCCCAGTAGTCAAAAGGCCTTTGGGGAGTTATGAGTTGATGATGACTGTTGCAGAAATCACTCAACCACTGGACTTCTTACTCTCCATAAATAGTATCTCTCCCCCTTTAAAGGACTGTGTGGGGCTCAGCCACAGCAGAGCAAGGTCCTTGTTGTTTTACCATTTTTAATTGATATCACTCCTGCAGTTTTAACTAGAATAGGCATAGTAGAGTTTTTAAAAACTTGAAAGATAGCTACTAATGATTTTTTGAGTTACTCTGAGCTTTGGTTAGAGCTTTTAAAGACATCTGAAAGTTTTTTTTTCATTTCTTCACTTCTCATTTGTCTGTTTTTGTTAATGTAAATTTAAAAGGTGCTAATACTTAATACTGTAATATCTTATTAGGCACTTGACAGTATTGTGGGATAGCAAAAGGAATGGTGGTTTTGTCTAATTAAAATCACTAATAACTGTGGTAATAGAGTAAGCAGAATACCTCTAGGTGATCAAGTCCTATTCATTATTTAAGTGTTATAAAAAAACAAGAACCGTGGTGCTAACTATGAGAGTAGACTTGAATTGATGAGACACAGCAGGCCTTGGGCAGTGAAAACTCAAAGCAAAGGAAATAATTGTGCAGAGAAATGCAAGTGTTTAGTTGAAGTATCATAGGGCTTCTTGCCTTACCAAGAAATGTGAGCCCAAACACAGTATTCTAGAGAATCTGGGTGGGGATAGATACCTTTGGTTTGGCAAGAAGACTGGGTAAAAAGATCTCTTACCTCACTCCTTGTGGTAAAGTGTTTGTAGATGATGTGTTAACCTATAAACACAAGTTTAGGAGATGAGAATTTTTTTCTTTCAAAGTCAGGAATGGTAAACAGTGTTCAAGAACTGGAAATGGGCATTAGCAAGCATCAGATCCAACTGGCTCATTTCACAAGTAGAAAAGTTGAGGCCTAAATACGTTCAAGGACTTGTTTGAGGTTATAAAGTTTGTGGCAGAGCTGATTCCAGCTTAAAGATTTACTTTTCAGTTTCCATTATAACAGGCTGTGGTATAGGTTACCTTATGAAAATACATTATATCAGCATGTAAGTTAGTCTGCATAGCATAGAGTAACTAACATCCAATCACCAGCACTACTGACACATTTTACTTCCTTCTTTACAAACATCTTAGAATTGGCAGTAAAAATAGGTGAGTACTGCTTGTGATTTGTGAAGAACTGTTTTTATATCCTTGGCTGTTTCTTTGTATTTGCTCCACCTACTACTGCTTTTATGTTATTGCTACTTACTCCCTTGCCCACAGCAGACATTACACTTCAATGTGACCCTTTTGTTCCAAGAAATCCTCACCACATGTCCTAGGAATCTGTTACCACTCTTGGCTCAGACCTACTTTGTACCAGGCCTTGTGCAAAACTGTTGTGTGTACAGAGATAAAAGCACAGTTTCTGTTGTGGAAAGTGACTTTAACCACTCTCACAGAGGTACCATAGAATGACACTTTACCCTCTCCCTATAGCTAAATTTAACATTTGACACATATTCCTAATGCATAATGTCATTGAGATTTTTAAATTTCCTCTGCTGTTGGCTTCACTGTTTTGACTTTTTATGGATGTTATATCCTTAAAGGGCCACCCTTTAAGCATTCTTTATTTTACATATATTTTAAAATTCAGGCTACACCTAGAACAGGACTGTTGTAGGTGCTGATATTGGGGATTGGTAAAAAGGAAGGCAGAGAATCTTGGCCACGTGATACTTTATTTTAATGGGGCTGGGGAAGGGCTAGACTGTACAGACATAAACAATAATGAAAATGATTTCAGCTGGTGATAAATGCTATGAAGAAAATAAAACAAGGTCATGGGATGGAGAATGAATAGCTTGGCCAGCGTGGCGGGTTGTAGATTAGATGATCAAAGAAAACCAATTTGACAAGATGGCTTTTTTGTTCTGATTTAAGTTTTATTGCAATATAATGCATGAACTAAAAATATTTCATATTATAAGTGAACAATGTGATGAATTTTCACAGATTGAACATGCCCAGGTAGGCCAGTCCATATCTAATAATTTAGCAGCAACCCAGAGGGCCCTCTGGTTCCTTCTTATCACTGTCCCCACCCAGAAAAGGGTAGCCAGTCCCCTGAATTATACTACCATAAACTGCTTTTGTTCCTTTTTGTAATTTATGTAAGTAGAATTATACAGTGTGCACTCACGTGCTTAACATTATGAGATCCTGAAGGTAACTTTTTTGGAACTGAGTCATGAAAAGTAGGAAAAGTAGTCAGTGAGGTGACACTCTGTGGAAGAGAGGACAGCAAGTACAAAGGCCTGTGGTGAGACCTGAACTCAGCACGTCCAGGCTGTTAAAGAGGGGAAAGTGGTCGTAGTCTGATGTAGGCCGGAGCCAGTTCAAGTGGGGACTTGTAGGGTCTGATAAGTTTTTAAAAGCTTAGAGTGTTTGAATGGCTTGCCCAAAGTTACTCAGCTAGTAAAAAACAGCTAAATCCCAGTCCTGACTACCAAACACCAGGCATTTAATTGCTGTACTGTGTATCCCCTATTGTAAATAGTGTAACACAACAAAGCAGAGCCATGGTGGGCACAGAGATGCCTCTGTTCTGTCCATCACATCGCAGGGGAGATTTTGGCTGAGGGCACTGAATTTAAGTGGTTAGTGGTAATGTAAGCATAATTTTGCCTTTCAGTACATTTCCCCTCTCATGGCTAAGTGAAGTTCACCTAACTGTTCTGTTGCAAGAGAAGCATAGACATTGTAGGAAACACTGGCTTTAGAATCCTTGTTGTATGATTCTCTACAAAGCCCAGAGCTCCTGTCCAGGATCTCCAGGAGGAATGTGTACTATTGAGGGAAATGGAAACTATGGCCCTGCTATTACGTACTTCAAAATAGATGGCTCCAGCTTAATCTTCTGCTTTTTCTGAAAGTGGGAGGAGGGTGGATGCCTGGCTTTTAGAAATGAAGGACTAAAGGTTACATGCAAGTTTTTATCAGCTAATTGAGACTGTGGAGGCTGCATTGGAAGTTGTGACTTACATAGATCCACCTTCTTGCCTAGAAGAATGAATACCTGACTTTTTTCTTTTTGAAAATGAAGTACAGCTACAGTTTCTGCTGTTAGAAAAGGAAATCCATCTCAAATAATTTAGATGCTAAACTATTGACTTCTGCATGGGGAAGGTCTTTAAGTGATAGTTCTTGTCGCGCATTGGTTTTGTTTTGTAAATGAAACGTTTCTTTTATGAGTGAGTGATTCTTACCGACCCATAGTGGTGAGAATTTTGCTGCCGTTGTATCCTGGCCCAGTTCTGTAGTAGTCCTGACATCTCTCATATTTTGTGGAGGAAAAGAAATTACATCCATAACTTAAGATCATTTGTCCTTTGACTCTCTACTATTCACT